GTCCGTCGTTCTGGGGGGTTTCTTTTGGGGGTGTGGCAGGTCCAGAGCAGGGGTTGGGGGGACGGTCTTCGCCAGCAGTTTATTTGCAGGGAGTCCATGTCCATCCCCTGTCTATCCTCATAATGTATTCAAATTTTACCAAAAGGCAAAGGCGAGGCCAGAGTGTCAGTGCATTCATTTCATAAAATGCTTTTCTCTCTTACACTTTTCTCCCTACCCTTCTCGCTTTTCTTTTTTGTTGGTGAGTTTTCCAGTTTTTTTAATTTAATCGTGAGCAAATATTTTCATTTTTCACTGAAACGCTTTTAGCTAAATGAGTGGGAAATAAAATTAAATCGATATTGGTTGACGTTAGTCAAACTTTTGCCAGGGAAATGGCAAACAAATGGCCAATTTTAGAGGGAAATTAAAGGAAAAACGGATAGTAGATGATGGCTAACCTAAGATTGGCATTAAGGTTTATATTTCAGTTGGATTTCCCTCTCATACTTCAGTTTTTCCTATTCGCAGCAGTTGCTGGCAAGTGCCTGGTCCCCTACCGCATTAATGTTTATAATTCCGTGATAAATTTCGCCCTCTTTACGCTTTAAAAAATAATGACAAATCAGTTTGTAGATATAAGAAAAAGCCTGCGAAAAAAATGGCTTCAAAAAATAATAATCTCAAAATTTACTTTGGGCCAGCCGCCGGCCTTCGAGCTTAACTAATTGTAACAGATTCTTTTTTCCAAAGTCACGCTGGAGAGGGGAAAAATGAAAGGAAAACCCAAGGAAAAAACACAGGAAAAAGCCATAGAAAAATATGGAAAAACCCTTTGGGGCGTAAACGTCTGCCCGGCATTATCCTCGCCTCCTCTGCGGTCTGCCAATTAGAACCCTTTTGTTGTCTCCAGCCAAGACGCTGTGTGCACTTATCTCCATAATAAAGTCGTAACAATTAATTGAAGGCGACCCCGAAAAATGCGCACAGCTCCCCAACTGAGGTGAAAGATAGAAATCCTGAGACGAAGACCATGGAAATTTTTCATCGTTTGACGCGTAATTAGTCCACCAAAAAATTATTTGACGAGCCTCAATTAATTTAATGCTCGGCGACATGAATTTCAAGTTCAACGGAGTCGGGCTTACCTTTTGGCAGAGTAGGAGGCGGCACTTATCCACTGGGCGGGAGTTTTATGGTTTAATGGATCTAAATGGGGCTTTAAAGGAATGGAAGCTGAAAAGGGGTTCATGGGATGTATTTGGAAAGGTTTATCTCGGATCAGCTCTTTTTTGTATGAGAGTATGAAATGCATAACAATTAGTAATCATTTTCTGAAGAAATAATCATATGTTTATCAAAAATTATGGATATAGTAGCTTGATATTACAATTTGCCTCATTCATTGACTAACGATCGTCTCAGAATAATAGCATGAAATTTTATAGCTGCATAAATCATTCGCCTTGATTTACTCGATATTAGAGAGACCTTCCCCTCAATTTGCACCATCGAAAGTCTATTAATGTCAACCACACAATTATTCTCAATCGATAACTAAATAAATCTTGCAGCAACCCTTCCACTGCTCAGCGACACCAACACAATTTTGGATATGGGAATCTGTTCAATTTTCGCTGCGATCTGCATATCTGGCATTGAAATGGAGACTCCCTTTGGATTTTACACTCGACTCGACTCGCATTCGGCATTCGGTTTGCGAATGAATTCGAGTGTAAAGGTTAAAATTATAAATGTGCAAATGACTCATCATAAATAAAATTAATAATAAAAGGCACCGCGCCGCAGCTCTGAGAGAGAGAGAGAGAGACGGGGACCTTCATTGAGAAAAAGCACAACGCATCAACATAAATATTATGATAAATGGTTTGTTATAATCGTAATCCTCGGGGGGTAAGTTTCCAGTCGTGCCGCACGCATTTTTTATGCCCCGGAATGAACCCCTCAAGCCATAGCCAGAGAAAATCCCAACCAGGAGCCAGGATGAACTGCTTTTGGTCCTGGCGCAACATATGGTCGATGGGTGGAGTGGATGTGGCGTGGAGTGGAGTGGATGATACAGATGGCGCTGCCAATGGATTGCCGCCTTTCAATAGCCGGAGCCCCCGAACAAAGTCAAATTTTTTTTTATTGGTTTCCCCACTCCCACCGCATATCTCTTCCACTCCCCTTTCCACAGAAAGAGATGAAGTATCTCGCAGATACTTGACGCTGAAAACTTGAACATGTTGCACGACAATTACAAACTTTTGCTTGCGGTTCATTACGCCTAATTAACACTTGCCACAAATTTTATTGTTTCCACTCATTCGAGTGGCGCGTACAGCACAATTTTTGGTGGCACAATCAACATCTTACACTCCACATGGAATGGAACTCATCCTCTGACGGGCTTCTGCGTGGCACGCATTAAAATTCAGGATGCGTTGCAAACAATTTGTGGCAAACAATGAGTGTGTGCCCCCGCTAGGCTAGGAGGAAGCAGGAACATGGATACAAATTGTTATTCCATGTGGCAGAGGGCATTTTATGCTTGGGATTGGTATAGGTCTACTGGCAGAGTGCCTGTCAAAGGTTTAATTCAACTGTTGATTCGCATTTAAAAATGTTTTCAGTGGATATATTTCAGTAGAAAAGGTTTTAAAGGTAGAAAGGGAGGTCAAAGAATATACGAATTTTTCAATTTGCCTCTCAGTTCATTCAGATACGAGCTTCACACCTCCTTTCACTCCTTTTCCCCATAGCATTGATCATTGGTTCAATCAAAAGCCATTTCACTGTGCTCTAAAACTCAAAGATTTGCCTCCAGAGTCTCGTTTAGATCGTTTACCGTTTGACAAGGAATTAATTTGACAACATTAACAAATTAAACTGTTCAACAAACACTCCACCAGCCAACACACACCACACACACACACTCTCCAGAGCACACAGCGGTGTGCTCTCTCTGTCTCTGTCTCTGTCTCCCTCCATCTGCATCCTGGTATGGACAGACATTTACAACATCATTTGTAATCCATATCGCTCAGCATGTCGTCCTCCTCACCCCATCATCATAGTGAGTCCCTTGCCGCAGAGTGTGCGGCAGTGTGTGGTGGCAGTGAAAAGATGTATTGACCCTTCAACGGGATTCAGTGTCGGTTGCTTCGGAATGCTTCACGGCTATTTATTGGCTCACTTTCACCAGGGGGTACCAACAAGAGAAAGACCAGAAAACCGAAAGGGAAGATTTGCTTTCCCCCTCTCTTGGGAATATTTCGTGCATGTTGCCTTTTGCTTGGATGGACACATTCTGCACTGTGGCAGCCACGTGTTGGGATTCTGAGGTTAAACACTCGCTAGGACTCGACTACTGTGTTCCTAGACACCGACACCTTCCATGGGATTAGTGTAACTCATTTGTCAACATAGTGGCGGGTGGCGGGGCGAATGAGTGGCATGAGTGTGTGGTCAATATTAATTGGCATTGTATTAGTTTAAGTCAGTGCAGTGGCAAATAGTCTCACGGAGATTTACATTAGAAAACGCTGCAGGAGGGCAATGGAGTCGTTAGATTGGGAATACATTTGCTGACCTGATAGAGGATCTTCCTTCTTTAAGGTATTTATTGAATGGCAGAGTAGAAACAGAACAATCATTAGCTTAAACAGTGAGGAGAGAACGAGAACGTAAAGTAGAAAAAGAGAGCAGAAGCAGCTTTAGCCTCAGTTTATGGAGAGCATTTGCAGTCTTACGTTTGCTCTCCCATTACTCAAGGTGCGCGCTCTCTTGAGCAGCAACGTCATAACCGTAACAAAAATATCAAATCTTTGCAGGCGGGAGAAGGAGAAGAGAGATCAACAAAGCGTCGCCTGCTCTTCTTGCTAGCTTATCTGTGCAGTCTCAGCTTCTGTGAGAGTATGCTAAAGCAGCTACAAAGAAAGCCTTATCTCCATGAAGGAGTGATAGAGTAAGATAGATCGCCCCACCTGCTCTTCCAGCAGCCCAAAAGAAAAATCTAAAGCAGCTGCCAAGCTCCACCGCCTCTCACACATTCAAATTTCCGCTGCTGCTCGCATTCTGTCCATCCGATAAAAGTGATTAATTGAAACTCTCTCTCTACCCCTCTCTTTTGGCCGCTCCGCATGTATCCCTGGGCGAAGTGAATGGGGGAATCGGGAGAATGGCGAATGGGAGGCAAAGCTTTAAAATGGTGCATGCAGCAGCAGCAGCCGCGAAACACTGTATGTGCTACACAAAACCTATCCCCAGGCCCTGCCTGGCTTGCAATTGCAAGTTGCAACATGGCAACCGGTGCTGCCGCTGCCTTTTCCCCCCTAGATTGAAGGCATCAGAAAAAAGGGGGACAAGAAAAAATATTTTGACAAATGAACCTAAATAACAGGTTGCAATCGCTCTCAGACAGTGAGAGAGAGGTGAGCGAGGAGTGTGGAGTGGACTTGTGGTGTGGAGTGGCATGCAGCATGGACAGGAAAACGTATGGTCGGACAACCTTGATACCTCATTTATTTTAAATGCGGCTGTCTCGATCTTTTCTTATTTTTTTCTTGCTCGCATACTCGTATATTTCTTGCGCAAATGAAATCGACACATTCGAAGGGAAGTAAATGAAGCATTTCCAGAGCGAGCTCTGGTCTGGTCTGGTCCGGTCCGAGGACTGGTCTGCCCCTCGAAAATTGTTACAAATGATCGCAAATAACAGATCTTTGCCGGCACATCATTCCGAAGCTGTCCATCAAAGGAACCGTGCCCCGAGACGAGCGAGTGCGTGTGTGTCTCTGATCAAGTGGGAAACGTATACAAAAGGAAAGGAAATAAATGGAAAGGGTATGGGTATGGGCATGGGCATGGGCATGGGTATGGTCATGGGTGCCCCGTTCTAGAGAAGGCGCCGCCATGCTGCGCCTCTACTCATCGTGTTGCAAGGTAAATTGCATTGATTTCTTGATTAATGAGACTTTCGCATTTCACTCTCTCGTTCTGCCCGATCTTGCACTCACCCTGATTATTATTGTTGCTGCCCTTTCGCGACGTCTTCTTCTCCTTCATCCAGGGATACTCCGGCACCGAGTCCATGCCATCCGGTGTCTGTGGCATTGGTCCCACACCCACCGGATATCCGACGCCGACATTCACATTCACATTGACACCACCACCACCGCCGCCTCCGATGCCAACAGGTGTTCCCATCTTTGGGCTCTCCGGACTCAGGTGATTGAGAAACTCGGCCATCGAGGGCTGCGAATTGATGAAGCCACTCTCGGAGGCGGCCATCCAGTAGGCCGTGTCCGCGGCCCGTTTATCACAGTTCGAGGCCATCTTGTTGACCAGCATCACCGCCGGCACGGCCGGAGCACCCTGCTGCGTGCCCTGACCCACCAAACCACCAACAGCAGCAGCACCGCCAACACCACAGCCAACACCGCCCACGGGGAGTGCGGTTTGTCCTCCCGTTTGCACCTGCAGCGGATTGAGCGGCGACTCCGATTTGATCTGCGTCCCCATTGGGGTTGTATCCAGGGTGCTGCAGACCTCTTGCATGGCTTTGAATTTTCTTTCTTTTCTAATTTAGTTTGTGCTTTTTTGTCTTTTTTGGGTTCAGTAGAGTCTTATGTATTGATCAGTGAGGAAACCTGCAATGAGAGCAGATATTGATATAGGTTAATGTAGGGCCATATTGGGAATAAAGTAGATAAATATTATAGAGAGTTTTAACAAAAAAAACTGTTTGGAAAGAAAGAACTGCAACCTTTTCTTAGATAAATCAACTCACTAGAGATCTATAGTTCTCCTTTCACTTAATTTGTCCAATACTTTTTATTGCAATCAATCAAATTTTTGTATTTTGATAAGAGTCTCTAAGGTAATCACAACATCCACACAGAACAGTTCTTGGAAAACGTATGTTATGTTTTGAAAAGCCGACGGAATTGGGACACCATTTTTCCCATCAAAAAGCTTCGATCATCACATTGTAAGCCATTGAAGAAGAAAAATCATTGAACCTTTTGACGATTTAGTGTCAAATTATTGTTCTAAGATTTTCTTTTGTTAAAATCGAAATCTATAGATCGAATCAGACAGCCATCGGACTCTTATTGGAAGATATTTACCAATCAAAATACACATTATTTTCTTAGAAAATTCAGGCATTAATATCTATACTAAGTATTATTATTGAACAGATTTTGTAATTCCAAAACGATATAAATATGATTTTTAATTTTACTTTCACCTACCATTTCAATAAGAGATTTTTGTTTAGTGTTTGATTCCATTCCATATTTTATGTTCTATTCTAAAATGGTTTTTATTTTTATTTTTCACTTGGGATTTTTCACTTCACTTTTCTTCTCTTTTTGCACCACAATTTGTTTAGTTTAACTCTTTTGTTTTTCACAAGTTTTGCAATGCGGGTTTTTAGTTGTAGAACTTCTGTGTGCAATAGACCCCCATGCGGCGGGGCCTATATGGCTTATCTGTGAGGTCCGAAATGGAGGCGACAACCGCGACGAGAACGAGCACGAGAGGGTAAGGTAAGGGGAAATGGGAGCACCGGAATATTATAGTATGGCCGACCGACCGTTCGTTGTGTACTCAAGCGCTGCAGCGCCAAGTTCTGCTGCCACCGACGACAGTTTTGGGTTTAGTATCGGTTTCGGTTGCACACACCTCTGCTACTGCTGGTGGTGACGATGGCGGCGGCCATGGCGACGCGAATAGGCCAAAACACACAGTTAAAGTACAGCAGCAGCCAACAGCCCCACGGTGCGTATGCGTATGCGGAGCTTGTTGGTTTTTCACTCTGTAAAGAGTTTTTTTCTTTTTACTTGGAGAGAGAGTCGGTCGCCTCGATCGTCAATGGCCACAGTGACACTCATTCACTCACTCACTCACACTCGCATAGACTTGTGGAGACACTTTTCTCACTCAAATACGCACACACTAGCTGTCTCTGTCTGGCATTGGGTAGGTGCGCAGTAACCGGTTTCTCGATATTGTTGTTGTTGTTGCTATTTCAGGTGGGGTTGGTTCCAATGGTGGCCAAGATGCGGCTCAGATAAGAGTTTTGTTCTAGTTAACAGTGTAAGCCAACTATTTGATAACTTTTTTACTACTAAAATTCATTGTGGAATAGTTATAAACATTAGCTTCTCCGTCGCGACTTTGTGTGAACCTTCGAGAGCGAGAGAAAGGAGACCGATTGAACGGGGACGACCAACGACTGGCGAATCTTGGGGCTTGCTTCGTGCGCGTGTGGGCCCGAGAGCTTTGAGAGAGCAGCAGCAGCAGCCAACCAAGCAACCAACCAACCCATCCAATAACACCGAACGCACTGAAACAACCAGCACTTGAGTGTGCTTCGGGGGCACATATCCAAGTCAGGACTTGAGCATGCGCTCTTGGCCGCCGGGGGTGGAGTTCGCTGCACGAGCATACACACACACACATGGAAGTGTGCAACGCGCTGATTGGTCAACTGGCACACATATATATTTTTGTATCTTTGTATCTTTTGTGTGGCTGCTCTTGAGCGTTTTTTTTTCGCTTGTGGCTGTGAGCGTTTTTATTTATTTTTTTCTTTCTTTTCTTTTTAGTTTGAACGTGTTGCTTGTGACGGAATTTATTTCGTTTTTGTTATTTACACATTCCGCGGCAGCAGAAGCAGCAGCAGCAATAGAAGAAGAAGGGCACGGCACAAAGAAGTGGCAGAAGAAACAGGGGATAAAGAAGAGGTGCAGCAGAGGCAGCGACAGTGGCAGGCCAAAGCAGCGGTAAAAGAAGCATCGGCAGCAGAAAGCGCAGCAAAAGCATAGCAGCTCCTCTCTCTCTTTCTCGCCTCCTCCATCCCCCCCTCCCTCTATCTAACTCTCTTGCACTGTCGTTTTTTGTTGGCTTTTGGGTATTTTTGACATTTCGCTTTGCTCATCGCTCTTTTTGTTTTGGGCACCGCTTCTTCTCTTGTCTAACCATCATGTTGTCAATCTTTCGCTTTTCACCGTTTTTCTTCGCTTGTTTTCTCGATTTTATTTTGGTTTTTTTTTCGCGCTTGTCTCTCATTCTTTTTCACGCTCTGTTTTTAGTGTATATCAGGGGAGAGTGGGGAAGTGGAGAGAGAATCCCCTACATGCCCGCACTGTAAAATATTGTAATTATGTGTAGATATTAATATGTATTGTATATCATTACAGGTGTAAATAAGACAATTACACGGAGTATTACATGAGGAGGACTCAGCTTTTATTGGGGCCTAAATGGATATGGAGTTTTGGGAATTTATATGCCATATTTTGTCTCATATATAGACTTTTTGGCTTATAAAAGTGAAAGTATTCATTGCTTCTTTGGGCGTAACCAATAAAAATATAGGAGGTTTATTTGAGCAAGAAATGCATAGCTACGAAAATTAAAACAAAATGTCTTTGGTAGAACGATAAATAATAGCTTCCTGCATAAAGATATAGCATTTCACGAATGTTCATTTTGCTATCTGGAATATTTTTCAGACATCCCACAAAGATATGGCATTAAAGATTTTCGATTCGCCTAAAGTTTCACACTGATCATCGGCTAAGAAACGGGCTAAGGATTTCCTCCATGATCACCTGATCACTCATGAGATTCTCCTGTAGATTGGACTACTTGTCGCAGGACTACTAGCGAGTGCTCTCTAAACCAGAGAGCTCGTCTTAGATTTTGCATAAGCCCGAACGATTGTAAATCTGCGGCATGCAGCACGTAGCACATGTCGGCTGTGGGCCCCTAAAGAGGTTTTTATAGCGGGTGATTGGATTAGCTTGAAGTGAGACACACGTTTTATGGCCAGGATCAGTGTGCTCGCACCGTTATGCTAAACAGGTAGTTTAACCCGCAGATATTCATAACTCGCTTGGAAAACCCCGGGGAAAACCGAAATCTTTCTCGTTCATGGTAGATAGGATGGCTACCTGACCTGATAAGAGGAATTTGGGGTTTGGACATGGGCCTGTTTGCAAAAGTTTTGCTGTACTTTAAGGGGAGGTTTCTACCTTACAAAAGTCCTACTACACTGATAAGAATTCAGTAGTGCCCTAATGGATGGAATAATACTTTGAAAAGGGATTTTAATACATACAATACCATTACTAGAAGATGAGGCAGATTTTGGGAATGTATCCCTCTGTAGATTAAACTGAAAGCAAACATTTTGAATATCCGTTAATATTCGCTTTCTATTCCGCATCGAATTTTATAGAACATTCGTTTATATTCCCTTATTTGACTGTATTTTCATAGGCCTCCCAATCTTCCATAGGATTCGAGGTTTCGAAGCAATGCTATCCATCATTAGACACAAACGACGCAATCAGGACTCACGCCATCGTGGAAAGTGTCGCTAGCTGAGGAGAGTCTGATTCCGATACGACGCGACATTCTACTGCAATAAGTCGCTGTCCAGACCAGGACCAGGCACAGGGAGAAAGAGCAGAGAGCAGACCAGCCGGCTGCCCAAAAGTCCCTGGCGTCGTCGCCCTACAGGTAGAGGGACAGGACATAACCGATCCGATCCGATTCGCGGTCCAGTGTGTGTGGGCGGGGTACCTGAGGTGTTTGGTATAAAAGCAAATGAGACAACTTCTCAGTCATTTAGTTAAAAAACTGAACTGTCACCGAACACAAGCAACAAGCAACCAGCGAGGAAAATGTTCTCCCCAAATAATACAAACTATTTTGTTGACAACTCTTCAACTCTCTGTGATTTTCTGGTAGGTCTTAGAGGATACAAATTCAAAATATTTCATGGAAATTAATCAATAATTTTTTTACTTAAACTTTCAGATGTTTCCCAGTGAATCGTTGACTATGGAGGCCGTTCCCTTAGCTGCAACCAAATCGATGGAGAAGACCAAGAGATCTCGCACCGCCTTCACCAGCCATCAGCTGCTCGAGTTGGAGCGCGAGTTCCATTTGAATAAATATATGTCACGGACACGCCGCATTGAGATTTCCCAGCGACTGAGTCTGACCGAAAGACAGGTGAAGATCTGGTTCCAGAATCGTCGCATGAAGAGCAAGAAGTTGGCTAATAAGCAGGTGACCAAGGGTGTTCTGGCCCCCACAAAGTTGTGCAACATGCAACAAAGTGACGATCTTTTGGAGCACGAACACATTGTGGAACGTCTGCTGCAATATGTGAACACAAATGTTGAGAGTGTGCCACAACAACATCCTGCTGCAGTACCCCAACAGCTAGTGCCTCCCACTGACGTGCCCCTGCAACAAGGCCACATAACGCCACCCTATCAGGCGTATGACTACCTTCAGGAGTTCTGTCCTGCAGCCCTGCCGATCGCAGAGATTCCCATCCACCAAATGGAGCCACCACTCAATCAAAATTGGCCCAGCAATTGGTTTGTGCCAGAGTCAACTTTTGGCAGCGCTCAAGATCTGCAGATGCCCAGCTCCGATGCTTACGCCCAGGGTCAGTTTATGGCACAAAACCTGGGCTGGGACTCAAATAGTTCCTCTTCTGGGGAGTCCTTGGAGGTGGACTTTGATTTCATACAGAACTTAATCGACTTTTAAGACACATTTGTATATACATATATATATGTATATATATATATATATAATTTTTTTTGCTTATTTAAGTTGTACATAAATATTTATAATAGACCAGGCCAAAAAGTAAGGAGGGGTGAAATTGCATTAAGATTTATAATAAAATTGTTCCTTTAACCATAAACAAATAAAATAAAGAATTTTGAAGGGCTTAACAGGCACCTAAACTAACAAAACTTCTTGGCCAAATTGATAAGCTCAGTTTCCTTTTAGCTGGTTAAAAGGATGAAGCCAAAATGGCAGCCATTTGGCCACAACATTTTGGTGGACATGCCCATACCCATTCCCCTCTCTCTCTCTCTCTCTCACTCTCTCGTTCTCTTAGATAAATTGGTGTCATCACATCATAAAGTAATTTCCAGCATATTGAAATTTTCTTTGGCTTTTCCTGCTGGCTGCTGTCCACGGATATTGTGTGTCACATGTCAAAGGAGCAGTGGGAGTAGGAGGAGGAGCAGTGTTCCTCAGATCATATTAGATTTGGCCATGTTTTGTGAACCATATTTCATCGTCAGCTGTCGTCAGAGTCGTCGTGTCTTTTTATTAGTTATTTTGATTATGCCAATAATAAAAACTTAGTCGAATTTCATTATCGATAAAGTTGTGCCTTGAACAGGGAATATTTGAGTAGATAAATGAATAAAGTTGTGTGCATAAAAAAATATATCTGTAGATTGCCTACAAAAATAGACAGGGTTTTTTTGTTGGAACATATTTCATGTGTAAAGTATATTGTAAAAAAAACATGCACATATTTTTAGACATTTATTTTCATGACATGTTCAGTAGCAGATATTTATTTTGGATCTTATCATTGATCTGGCTTTGGTGGCTTAATGTATTTCTAATTGATATATTTTCAGTCGATTGGTTAACAGAAAAACAAAACTGAATTACAATCGAAAAACATTGCCATGAATTGCTGAAAAATATATATATCCATAAACAATTGATTGATGGGCTCTACTAAACATATTTCTATATATATTTAACCTTATCCCATTGTTCACTTGCAATAAAAATGGTGCCACAAAATATCAGATAATTGAGTTAAATGGAAAGGATTAATGAGTGGGATAAGAGCTCCGAACTTTGTGCCGACTCAGGCGGGTAACGACTCATTTGGGGGGGGCCCAACCTCCTAGCGTCTCCCTCCACCCCACCCCTTTCGAAGCTGCCAAGTACAAGATGCAACTACCGCAACAACCGTGACAAGTACAACATTTGTGTCGCCTGCCAGCCTGCCAGCCCGCCGGGGGCTTCAATCTGTCGCCCTCTGCCTATGCCACGCAACCTTTGACACGCATAAATGGAGCACCCACCGCCCCACCCACTGGCCCCATGAACATCCCCCAACCATTGCCAGTGCCATTGCCATTGCTGGAGTGTCAGGTCTCCGTTCTACGGTCTGCTGCTGCCACTGCTGCTACTGTTCCGTCCTGGCCATGGCCGTAACCCATCCCGTTCTCGGGGGCACAAACAAAGATCGCAATTTGACTCTACACCACGGAGCTGTCAGCTGGCAGAGAGTGAAGGAAGATTGATTACCGCCATCGAATTGTTTGCCTTCCTCATCCAGAGAAGGGTAGGAAACAGAGAGCAGCAACACAGTGTGTTGGGAGGGGGTGCCAGTGGCAGAGGATGTGTGTCGGCGTCGTCGTCGTTGTCGTCTGACTTCGATTGAATGCCATTGGAATGGAATGGAATCGAATCGAAAGAGTTGAGCTACCAAACATGAAATTCCTGCTGTCATATGTAAACAAAACTTGAAATATTCCAAGGGGTTGCACAATGCATAGAAAGGGAATGGGGCACGGTCCTGCTTTAAAATTGAAAATAAACTTTGTAATGAGCTTAATTTTGAGGGGAATTTTATCTATATATTTCTTCAATAGTTTAATCCAATCAACAGGCAGAAAGAATTCACCTTCAAGCACGCTATTTATATTCTCAACAAAATTTCATTTTAACTTTTCCAGGAATCCATCAATAAACTCCATTTGCTTGGAATTAAATTTGCGGGCATATTTCACACAATTCTCAAAATTCGACTCATCGTTGAGACCCTTGTAGGCCATGGCCCGATACAGCCACGCCCTCAGATTCTTCTCATCCAATTTGTTCAAAACAAAGTCACAATCGACAATGGCCCGCTTGAAACTGCCAAGTCTACAGATTATAGAAAGAAGAACATTTATAAGGATAGAGGAAGATCGAAGGGGTATTTAAAGTTCTTTTTTTTTAATACTTAATGAAACAAAGTGCCCGATTTATGTAGAGAATGTGGCTGTCCTTGATGTTCTCCATGGCCTCGCTGTACATACGCAGGGCAGTCGTGTAGTTGCCTTGACGATACTGAGAGTTGCCCAATCTAAGGGTTAGTTGGGAGATATATATTAGCCGGGATATATACTGAATGCTTATACTCACTTTCGAAAGTTTTGAGCCACTCGCTCACGCTCCAGACGCGCCTTGGAGGACTCATCATGATCCACATCCACCTGCCGCATAAATGTAAAGCGATCCCTATTCCCATCTGTAGGATCTGCTTTCTTTTTCTTTGATTTCAATATGGGAATGGGAACCTTCTTGGGCGCTAGAGGCTTCTGACGCTCAGTGACCATAAAATTGTCTTCAGTGACACTTTCCGCACTCAGATCTTCCTTAACAGCTTCCTCCTGCTCTTCTGCTTCCCTGTAAATAAATGTTGTGGAATTAAATTATACGAATACTATTCTATTACTCACTCCTTTGGCCTTTGTAGACTTTGTAGCAATCGTATGACATCCTCAACTGTTGATTCCGTATCCAGGAAACTTTCATCCGTTTGCGGGTGCAGCAATGAAAACATATTTCCCCAGTTATAAATGTCCAATGACCAAAGGATTTGAGTAAATATTTGTGTGTTTGATTTGTGGCCTTTGTTAGGTTTTTGTTTACTTTGTGGTTCGTACAGCTGGGCAAACGTATCGCAGGGCAACCAAATAATGTATTGGTTGCCCCTGGCAATAGTCGCCGCTGTTTATTGACGAAATCAGTGCATATAATATCGATAGTATCGATGATTTAGAGGGTATTTGATAGGTGATTATAATGGGATTGTAATTAAATTAAAGATGTGATGGGAGCTGCTTTCGAGAAGGTGATCTTTAAGGGAATTTTCAAAGGAGATTTATACTGTGAAATCTTTAAGGTATCCTCTCTCTTTAGTTCCGCCACTTTCTTTCAATTTCTAAACTTTAATAAACTATTTACTTAAGTATACAACATATCTAATACCATATCACATTAAAGCGCAACTTGGGTGTATTTTTGCCCGTCATTTGCCGTGATCCGCTTGCATGATTACTACACTCACATCTACACACTCGTGCAGCACTCATACTAGTACTCATACTCATACTCACATTCACATTCACATTACTTTTCATTTAATCTCATATAATTTGTAAGATAAAGAAATGCATACCACAAAGTGCATGCGCGTTGCTTGGCTCAAAGGATCAATTATAGACTATAAAACATAATGGCATCTAATAATAGTAGAGCCGCAATCTGAGCGCAAACCTGAAGCTACCCCCCGAACATACTCCGTTGGATCTGCACAGCAACGCCAACTTACCCAGCACTTCGGGTCTCCATCAGTTAGCCTCTTTCAAGTCCCCATACTTCGGGTCTCCATCTGCCTCGACTCCTTCTCCAGCGTCTCTGCCATCAGTTCTTCAACAGCGCTCTCCACTCGCTTTTTCCCTTGATATTTTATACACTGAGAGATCCGATCAAATATTTAAAAAATATCCATTTCATTCTATATTTTTCTATGAACATAAATCAACAGATAGAGCACCCATTTAGAGCTCCCATTTAGCTCATATTCTAATCCCTATATTCCATATATTTCCTACCTCAACAATTCACCGAATTTCTTTATTTTTTGCCTCAGTGTAGAAGTGCATGTTGCGGGGACATTACCTTGCATTGGATCCGCCTTTTCCTCCACAAAAAGGAGTGAGGAGGCATATGGGTGGCGGATATGTGTCTGTGTCGTGTGTTCCAGGCATTTAGGAGCCATACGGACACAGGGACACACACACACACACACACGCGCGCGCACAAGCAAAAACCGGACATGGACATGCTTAAGCGCCATGCAAGCAAAAGGAGAGGAAACGGAAAGAGGGAAGCCAAATGCACAGGAATAAATAATTGCAGTGCACTGCAAAGGAGAGACACGGAGAACTGCAAGAGGTGGAGGAGAGAGAGGGCCAGTGAGCCAGGAGCCGAGTGAACTGGTTGTGGCACCCATTGCCTGCCTGCCACACAGGCAAATGGACAAACGACAACGACACCAAATTGCTCACATGACGCACAGCATTTTTTATTCCTGCCACACGAATATTCGTTCGTTTCTGTTTCTGTTGCTGTTGCTGTTGCTTAGGCAAAAGTTTTTCCACAGTTCCTTGTGGCAGAGCAAAGAGCAGACTGGACTCGGGCACTGTGTGTACTGTGGCGGCATCATCAGCATAGATTGCCATTTCGACGTAATTGTTATAAATGAATTTCACGTAATTTAATTATGGGTTTTAGACCGATGAAAAATATACCAGCCATCGGGCCATAAATACGAATGGAAACCCCCCCACCCCTAGCTGGTATATATGGGAGTTCACTTGCATATGTTGCACATCAGATGGTGAATGAAACATAGAGAGAGGGTTGAGGGAATTAGCCATGAAATTGGTCTACGGATACCAGTGTCTAGGGGTGGGAGTAGGGAGTAGGGTATGGAAAGTGTACTATGGAAGTGGAGATGGAAATAAGTCGAATCAAATTGTGTGGCACCTTGTTTTGGGGCAACATTTGTGCATCTACTACTGCCATATGCTGGGAGTATCCTTTGCCCCAAAATAATATATTTTTTAACTTAAAAGGTAAGTATAAATTCCTCAAGCCGAAGCTTACAATACTCCATAATATTCATTGGCAAAGAACACAAGTACAAGTATATTTTTCTTCCTTCTTTTCTGTTCATATATTAAATGAATGAGTATACTATGCCCCCTTTAAGGGTATTCTAAAATCCAAAATAACAGCAACAGATGCTTGCAACAACCTCACGGCTCAAAACCCCCCCATGACTCATGGAAAGGCACAACAAAATTTCCATTGTATGCCCCAAGACTTACACTTTTTGGGCGCCCCTTTTCAGCAATTGGCATTCAAATTTTGAAGTGATTTTTTTCACGCATTCACAATCTTCCATGGAATACAAAATAAGTAGAGTTTTTCCCTGCTCTACCGCTGTTGTGCCTGCTGTGCCACTATATATATATATATATACCTTTTTTTTATTTTTGGGACAGCATAGGATGGGCTAGGCCACGGCAGGACAACAACCCGTGGCATATGTGGAAATGGAAAGGAAAGTAAAAAGTTTTTTTTCTGTGCTTTTTGCACGATTTGTTTATACGACAGGTGTTGGCCATAGCGACTGGCGTTGAGGGACTGACACGTCTGTGAAATGTCATAACGTTTAAACGTGCCAAAAATATTCAAATTTCTGCCCAAAAATATTCAAATTCTGACTAAAAATACATAAAGAGGGAGAGAGAGGGAGAGAGAGGGAGAGAAAGAGAGTGTGGTTGTGGGCTGGAGATAGATAGAGCTCTATCCATAACCTTTTCGGTTGATAGAATTTTCATGGCTTATAAATTATGAAAAATGTGGAAATTTAGCAAAGCTGCCTTTGATATTTACAATTATATTTAAACAATTTACTGGTTGCAGCTAAACAAGTTTTTAAGTTGAGTTTTCAAGCTTCAATCTTTCATAAACTCAGTTTTATGTCCCCTTTTGCAAACACTTTTTAAATGTACTTCTCTCCACTGCTTCCCTCAGTTAATTAAAGACACAAACTATTCCTCAACGAAAGCTCATTTCATTTGCACAGAAAATACATTTTGGTCGGCTGTCGCCAAGGATTCCGCGAATGTCCTGGCCGCAAATTCAAAATTCATTGCGCGGCCAGGCAGCATCTGAAGCCAGAAAGGAGCGAAAAGCTTCAAGGCGATTAGCCATAAAAATTATAGATTCAATCTAATTACAAAACGCTGTGGTTCAGCAATAGAGAGAGGGGTAGAGGCGGAGAAACCGCCAAGTGAATATTTAATTTAATTAACAAGAAACAATTTGAAATGTTTTTTTTTTGGCGCAGGAGGAAGAGGAGGTGGCTATGCTGTGGCAATGCTCGTAGAATTTATTGTTATGACCGGGCCAAGGCAAGTGGCATTGTCATCAGGCCTCCAGGCACTCGACTGTGGCTCTGGCTGTGGCTGTGGCACTCGACTGTGGCTCTGTCGTTGGCTAATAAAACCGCAATGTTGCCGGAATGATTGAGGAGGCATAGGCATTCCAAACTGAACAATAGAAACAATCTGTGGCTGTGTGCTGTGTTGTTGGACATGTTTATTACATTGGCATTTCGCGTAATTTTCCCCGTTTTTGCTTTTTATTTGAGTTTGATTAGCTGCTGTGTGCGGCCCGATTGCCGAGCGATTAGCCACGCCCACGGCTCGCATCTATATTCATTATGGCAGAGTGAGAGTCTCCGTCTCAGTCTCAGCCTCAAAACATGTGGAGGACATGCACCCCAGTCCAAGCAGAACCGAGCAACGGACCGACCACATGTCAGGAAATGTCAACAATGCGCATGAAAATTCCAAGGGTTCCACTTCCACACTCACCCCCTGTTCCGCCCCCCACTCTAATCCACATGGCCACCACACTCTTCTGTTACTCTTTGGCACTATTTTCCCTGGCCTTTCGCTGTGTGGCAAGTGGCAGCGACAATTTCCTCCCAGGGGAAGCAATTTGCCACACACAACCAGAGGCGAGGCATGTCCCTGCCCAAAAGGGATGTCCTGTCCTCAAACCCCCAAAAAGGAGAATGGAGAAAGGCGAGTCACTTCAGCTGGAAAACTGTTTGTATATGTGTGGTGGAAATTCCTTGGAGCTGAAGCTGAAGCTGAGTGTCGCATTTCCGCGCCGAAAGACGCTGCCCAGCAGCAGCACTCGCACTCGGACTCGCCAGAAGGTCCAAGAGTCCAAGTAATGTGTGCGGTTAAATATCCATAAATCAAATCGTAACACACACCACCTCGAAGCCTTCTCCGAAGATGACCAACGTGAGCATGGACCGAACAAGGGTCCGGATCCCAGCACCAAGGACCTGTCCAAGTTAATGCGGTTGACACTTTTCAACGACCTTAATAGATGGCAAATACAATGGAAATTCCTCGACTTGACCTCAAGTCGTCCGCAATGGGACATTAAATTGCAAAAGTGAAACCAAAGACAACCAAACACTGGCACACAAAATGCTGCTACTAAATGCTAAAAATTAACTCTCTTCTGCCCTGCTGTTACAAACGCAAAAGTATTCACTTTTGAGAGGGGGCTAAGCAGTTTGTTTAAAGGATTGATGGGTGTTTATGGGCTGGTAACAAAAGTTTAGCTTGGAAAAGTATCAGAGATGGAAAAAATATATCTGAATGCTGGCAGAATGATAAGGAAAGACTTGTTCCAGGAAATGATAACAGAAAGGTTTATTTTGTAATTCTAGATTAATTATTAAAAAATATTTGCTACAGCAACAATTACGTATTAATGCAAATTTTTGATAATATTATTATTATTATTCCTACATAAAAGTAGTTTACACAGAGATTTGAAACGATGAATTTTTATTTTATTTTAAACTAATTATTTTCTGCCCAATTTATTTCCCATTTCATATCCGAAACACAAATTTATGTATTGCTCTCTAGATAATTATGTTCTTTAGATAAAGTAGAGATATTACCCTTGAAATTCGTACATATTTAATTTTTCCCACCTTCTTCAAATCTAAACAGAATGATTAAAACTACGAAAATATTTGATTTTTTTGTAGGCAACCTATTATATTTTAGTTACAGTAATATTCATAATTTGTGATTAAAATATAATCTTAAATGCAAAAAAAAGCCTTAATAATAATAAAGAAATAATCAAAGTTGTGCTTGTCACTGAGTTTTTGGGGGTTGGGCGACAAATGCATTTTGCGTCTAAGTGCCAAAGACGTTTAGAGTTAAGAGAGAGATACTAAAGATACTTGAGAGTAGGTACTTAAAGATACACACACCAGATACACTTGTATACTTGTAGCTACAGTTCCTAGCTCTGATAGTTGTAGCCGCCAGCCACACACGGATTGATGTGGGAAATGGACAGCTTTCTGGACTTGGCCGCTGGCTCGCCCCACGACAGATTCATCGAGGGATTCACCGGGACACTGCTGGGGCCGACGCCGCCACTGGGATGCCAGGATTGGGCAGTGGCTAGGACAGGCCCTGCCTTGGACTTGGACCAGGCCTGGGCAGCTGCCTCCAGATCCTGTTTGATGCTCTGCAAGACGAGGTCCACATTGTACGAATAGTGACCAGAAGACGCCACGCCAGAAGCTGCAGAGGCCTGGCCAATGGCTGCCCCCAAGGGGGCCACAGTTGCAGCTGGCACCGCTGTGCTCTGGGCGAGATGTTCCAGAATCTCGCTGAGATCGGAGGAGCACATGCTGTTGTTGTTGTTGTTGTTGTTCGTTGAGATATTTGCGATGGCTTGTGGCTTGGACTTCGGTTGCACATAGAACGAGGCAGCCACCACTGGTGGGGCAGCAATCACTGGAGGAGCAGCAATCACAGGAGGAACAGGAGCCGCTGCTGCCACAGCAGGACGCTTCTCCGTCGCACTGGCAGCCGCTTCCCGGGGATCCTGCGAGTAGGACATCAATCGCTGCACTATGCCACGGTGTGCACTCTGCTCCGCCTGCGGCTGTGCGAGCTTTGCACTCGCCTTGGCCTCCCGGTGTCCCTGGATGTCCTTTTTGAACTTCATGCGTCGATTCTGGAACCAAATCTTCACCTGTCGCTCGCACAGGGACAGTCGCTGGGCAATCTCGATGCGACGCGTCCGGTAGAGGTACATATTGCTCTTGAATTCGTTCTCCAGTTCCACCAGTTGGACGCTGGTAAAGGCCGTCCTGGAACGCTTCAGCTTCACTCGCTGCATATCCTGGCTGGAGGACTGCGACGGCAGATTCTCATCGGAGGAGAGCTGCTGCTGCTGCTGCTGGTGGTGATGCTGCTGCAACGATGGATGCTCCGGTATGCTGCTGACACTGTGCTGCGTGTAATTTTGCAGGGAAGTTGGCTGCAGATTCGCCGAATGATGATGTCCATAGAGCAACTGTGGGAAAAGAAAAAGTGAACTACAATTAGTTAAATGCTCTAGTTGGAAAGGGGTTAGGCACTACTTACATCGCTGTATTTAACCACTGGCGTTGCTGTTGCATGATGCACTGGATAGTAATGCATGACGGATGACATGATCTTCGGGTTCTTGGGCTGCTGATGTTGCACACGGGACTGTCCACAGTGGAATGATATGCTGCCCTATGCAAACATTCTCTCTTTATATAGAACTCTACTAGGCCTAGGTAGAGCATCGGTCATCTCTCCAGGTCAGGGTTCGTTGCGTTCCGTTGCGAAAAAAATTTGCCTAAGCCCGCGAGTCATAAATCCCCTTTTTGGCCTTCCTCTCGCGTCGCACTCGCCGCCGGCGCACCGCCGTTGGCACCAGCCAGACTAGCCAAGTCCAGCGTCTGAGTTCCAGTCGGCAAGGAACGGAGTCCTGGGAATGGGCAATCTAGAGGCTTGTTTTGATCGAAATCCAAGCAAGGATTTGGCAGTTACGTGAGACACTAGCACGGGGTCGGGATCGCGGCCAGAGTCTAGCCAGGTAGACAGTCGTCGTCGTCTTGGCCAATGCCTGATGATGATCTCAAAAACCAAAGAGAACTCTGATCTTGTAGCACCTGTTGAAGAAGAGTCGAGTCGTCGCTGAAAGTGAAACCGATATGCGATATGCGCCTCTGTGTCATGTCGCGGCTTTTGGTCGCTCGCCCGTCCCACAATTATCCTCATAATGCAATGAAAGCAACGCTGCGAAAAAGGATACTCCTCGGGGAGTTTACGACGCTCCGTTTCTCCGTTTTGTTTGCCACGTAGCAGCAGAAGCCTCAGGCTATATCCCTGTCTACTGTGAATATGCGAATCTGTCGCGGTCCGGTCCCGTCCCTGCGATCCTCGGACTTGGCAAAATTTTATTACTGGCGCTATCGGATTTGCTCCTTCTAGGAATTCGCTAAAAATATGCATGGAACAAAGGTGAAGTCATAACAGGGGAATGGTGAGGCAAATGTGGTACAGTTGAGGGGGGGAATCTTAAGTTGAAATAATAATATTAATCGGGTAGTATTGGAATGATATGATGTGGAGAGAGTAGCTAAGGTTGGGAAGAGAATATCTTGAAGTGTAGTGCTAAAATTTATAAGAAAGGAAAACGCAATGTTGTTGAAGAGGAATTTCTGCAGGACTCCGAATATATCTCCTTTTATATCTTAAAGGAATATACATACATATGTAAATAAAATATAAATTGAAATCGGAATAAAATATGTACTAATATAAATCTGAAAAATAGAAGGGTATCTGGTAGGACAGAACAGTGCCTTTAATAGTAATAAAATTAACCAAATTATTCAAAAATAAAATATATTTAAAACTTTTAAAAATATTATTTAAAGAAATGGTTAATTAAAGCTGCTAAAAATATATATAAATCCCTAATATAGCCGTTTCATATATATAAAAAATACACCCTAATACATACATTAGCTCTTTGAAATTATCCTGCATTATATTCCCTTTAAGAGATCAATAGGTAAAGAATTTGAATTCCTTTAGCTGTGACAGTTTCCACATTAATCACACAATAACATTTACATTTTTAGCAAATTAATCACCGTCAATTAATAATATAAACTATACTACCAGTATGAAAGATTTGCTCTGAAAACATTCATTCTTTCCTTTGGGAATTTCCCCCGACACAACCCATCATCATCGCATCGGGGAATAATCCACCGTTGAGAACGCGCCCATTTGTTGGGCTTCAATAAAAATTGGGAAACATTGGAAATTCCAATCGAGATTCGTTCATGTAAAGAGAGCGTTTTGGTTTTCTGGATTTTCCATAATTTATATCAAAGAAAATTGAGGCAACAAGTACAAAAGTTGGCCTGCTGACAAAACGGGCGCCCACCGTCAGCCTGTACAGTGCCTACCTAAATAGTGCACACAGGCAGCCGGGTCGGTTCGGGTCGGGGTCGGGGTCGTATAGGTGCAGCAGGATCAGGTAACTATATAAACACAGGCAGCTGGTGCTGGTGGTGCCAAAAACATTTTACGACTCGCGGGTTTCGTAGAAATATCGCGAATCAGATTTTACGACATGCATGTGTGAGGGGAGAGGATAGCGAACAGTGGGCCCATAAAATAAGATTTTTAAATTCATAAGATTTTCGGAAAAACCATACGAGTTTTCGTTCAGAAAGACGTGCCCGGCGGCAGCAATTTGGGAAGCATATCATATGTTTGTTTATATATTCCCAAAGATTTACACACAAAAAAGCTTACAAAAGAGAACATATGACAATGGTGCACCGAGGAACTTAAACTACAAATTGAAGCTAAACAGATTTCAATGCAACTTGAAGTGATGTTAAAGGAGGATCTTAAAAAATAAATATATATAAATAATTCAGTAAAAGAATCCTGGGAACGAACAAATGTTTGGTTTGTTTTGGCAGACAATTTGCTGACAATTCTTTGTGGAAAGAATGTCCAAATGTCTAACAAGCCAACGCATTTGTCATAGCGTATGCTGAATTGTTTAAATGTTCAATCTTTAGATGGTAATTATATTAAACAATATGATTATATGATTACCAACAAGAGAAACATTTTTCATTTCGATAAGTACAGGTTTTAGCTATGACAAATTTGTTGCAGAACCCACGAGGATTCCTTTGCTTAAAATGTTGGGGGGGAAAAGAACTTTCACTGGCATACGTTCAAGCCCATAAAACACCTCGTTTGATTTTAGCAGGGCATTCCTGGGCTTTTGGGGGAACACCGAACCAAAAAACAAACGAAGCAACGAACGTATGGCAGCGAAAGTTAGCGACGAACATCACTTGAAGGAACATTAAAATCTGCCTGCTTGCTGACTAGGCTAGTACATAAAAACACTAAGAACAAATTTACAATTCAGGCTTACACATAACTACGCGCAGATATCTACAATCAATTGGGGGTATTTGTACAATCAGGAAACAACAGATATTGTTTTTTTTTCGCTTAAGTCTAAACTTAAATCTCCCCCGGGAACTACTACTAGTTGAAGCAGTAGGCAAACTGTGTGTTGCCACCGGCATTACGATGCGGATTATACGCTTGCATTATCGTATCCATCGTACATTGATATTGGTTCGTGTCATGCATCATCCCCAATGGCGGGGGCTGGTTCTGTGCCGCTGCCGATGGTTTGCCAAATTTGGCAAAGGCACCGCGACCCGACAGCACCCGCATGCCTGTGCTCATATCATCGCTGCTGCCATCGTCACAGCTTTTGTCTAGACCCACAGCCGAATGGCTCTTCAGCGGCTCCAGGTTCTACAATGGGAAAGAAGGAAAAGAATCATCTAGTGGTGAAGGAACGTCCAGAGAGATCATCCGCTCGCTCACCTGTAGCGTCGTCGTCTTCTTGTTGGTCGTTCCATCGTCCATGTCGTCGGCTATGTCCGTGTCGCCGACTGCCGTGGCGCAGGGGCCGCCAATGCCACATAGACTGGGACTCTCGTCATTTTTGGGTGTTAATGGCTCATAGACCTCGGAGCCGGGCGACAGGGCAGACGTCACCTCACCAGCCGACGCCACCGCCGCCGCAACGGCCGACGATGCTGTTCCGGGTGTGGCTGCAGCAACAGCAGCAGCGGCGGCGGCGGCGACACCAACCCCAGACAGAGCCGAGCGCATATAATACGAGTTGTTAAAGTTGTAGTCGGCCTCCGGTTCGTCCTTGACCATGCGACAGGCGCTGGCCGTTTTCTGTTGGAAATCAAAATGATGATACAGTTGCTGCTGCTGTTGCTCCTGTTGTTGTTGCTGCTGCTGCTGCTGGGCCTGCATCTGATGTGGCACGTGGTTTGTGTGCGGCAATTGATGGTGGAGGTGCTGCTGCTGCTGTTGCTGCTGATTCTGGTGATGGTGTGGCGGCTGCTGTTGCTGCTGATGAAGCTGCTGCTGTTGTGTCTGAAAGAACTGTGCTCCATTCTGGGGTCCTGGTGCCGCCGCATACTGCCCATGGACGTGGCCCACATGGCGCTGGCCCTGCGCCTGGCCATGGCCATGATTGTAGTTGTAGTAGGCATTGAATGTCTCACCATAGTGCTCCACCAGGTGGCTGGTGGTGGCCGAAGGCGTGGGCGAGGGCGTCAAGGCATTTGGTGTGGCCCCTCCACCCAAAGTGAGATTCTGCAGACTGGGCGGATCTCCCTCGCTGGGCTTGAGGCCCGGCGACAGTGGCATGCCGTCGTATGACTGATCCTTGTGCTGATCCGATTGGATTTTGTGGCGACGACGACGATTCTTGAACCAGATCTTCACCTGGGCCGTGCCCAAAGCCAGTTTGGCCGACAGATCGGCCAGTCGTGGTGCAGTGAGGTAGCGTCCCTGCAGGAAATGCTGCTCCAACTCGGCTATCTGGCTGCTGGTGAATGTTGTGCGAGTGCGTCGTGGGCGTCGCATCACCAGGGAATCAGGCAGCTCCTCTGTGCGGGGTGGGAGCGGGCTTCAGAAATGTCACATTGTCTGTTTGCGTGTATTGCCGGCACTCACCTGGCTTGGGCATCTGGTTGGGCAGATAGGGACGTATGTAATTGTAGTTAATGGCTCCCGTTCGCTCATCGAAAAGCTTTGGAGGAGCAAGCAACACATTTTAGACCATCTTTTGATTATTTTCCGCGGAGAGTTTCTTACCAAATCGAAGGGATTCCGAAATTGTGGCGGCAATTGAAGCTGCGGATGTTGATGTGGATGGTGGGGATGTGTATGCGGGTGGGGGTGCGGCGGGTGTGTGTGTGTGTGCGGCAGCGGGTGATGATAAAAATTTTGATCTGGCGGCGGTTGCGCCATTTTCCCCACAACTCCGCCTCCTGCTGCACCACGCTTGCAGCACTTTAACACTCGTTTAAATGTCCGCTTCCAATTGAAATTGGCAAACGGGAAAATGTTATAAATAATTCCTAATTTGTTGGGGTAACCGGTTACGTTCGAGACGCTCTCGCAAACTTATCTTTCCAGCATTTTGTGATCCATTTACATACGGTACGCACACATGCATACACACATATTTACATATGCAAGGTGCCGTTATATAGGGATGGGTAGTCGCGACCATGGCTGGCAAAAACCATTCGATCGATGGGTAGGGATATCGATTGGGATTCTGGGATGATTTGATTAATAAATTAACAATAAATATAATCTATAAATTACTGATTATTGTTTATTTATGTTTAATTTGCGCTAAGAGTCTTCCCTCAGCAGTCTGTCTGGCAGCGCTGTTTTAATGCTAGTAGTACCTGTAATAACAGTCAGAGGGCGTCTCTATATGATCTGTGCAGAAAAGCAATCGCTTGGCTTTTATTTTAATTTTGCACACATTTAAGCTGGTATCAAACAAATGTTTAACAAGGTTTTACTCTTCTAAAATTCATTTTTATTTTAATAAAAATTTAAATTAGCGTGCGGTCTAATGAGCGGTCTGGCAGCACTACTTAAATTGTAGTTCACTTCTTAGCTGGCAGAGGGCGCTGTTGCATAGTTTGGTAAATTTGAGGTGTGAAACCCGGCTAACTTGTTTTCAAACAAACAGAAGAAGGCGCCCTAGCGGACTTGAAAGTCATCTTAAAATAAATTCCCGCCAGATGGATGCAATAGAGATCCCTCCGATTATTTCCACAAATTTAAAACACTATTATTTAAAAAAATAAGTAGTTCCCGTTTTTTCGAACCTTTACCTCCTTCTTTCAGCACTGGTGTCAATTGCTAAGTGAAATATTTTAATGACATTTACCGAATAATTTGCCCTGTAGTTTGCCTTGTGTTTGGATGGGGCATGTTGTTGCTGTTGCAACTGTTCTGCCACTGCTGCCAACTGGCAACAAAAGTCAATTCACAGACAGAGACAGAGCGAGGGTAACGGGGCATCCAGCCAAAAGGCAAACAAAACTACGCGCCACCCAAAAGCCAAAGGATACACACACGCATTGGCATACAGTGGGCCACAAAATTCACACGCAGTTTGTGTGTGACAAAGGACTTCTACGGAGAGACCAGACCAGCACCCCGGATCCGAGACCCCGTGTACTCCCCTCTGTGCTGTGCCACACCGAGAATCCCTCTGGTTGCCTCTCTCTTGTCGCTGTCCCGTCCCTCTGTTACCGCTTGCCGCTTTTCCCTCTGCTCTGCTCTGCTCGAAACACCCGAAAGAGTCACTGACAGAAACAGGATTCGGGTAATAAATTACAAAATTTGACATTTTCTGCTTTGGATCCGCTTGAATGTGAACGAACGAACACACAGAGCAGTCAGCCTGGTTTCCAGCAGCGGTTCATTCTGTCTCTTTCTATACATGTCTCTCTCTTACTCCCTCCCTGTTTGGCTCTTTATAGCCCTGTCTCTTTCGGTGTGTGTCCAGTTTTCGGTGCGAGCCAAGTCGAGCGTTGCGTTTGAGTGCATAAAGCAGCCCAGAACCCTGGGACACTGGACATCGACAGCGATGGCGATGATGATGATGCTGCTGCTGCTGGTCCAGAAGATGATAATGATGATGCTGCTGGTGGATGCAACTGTGAGAAAGAGATGGGATATGTGGCAAGGACATATAATAGAAGCGCCCTATGAGGTCCCACCAGATAGTTAACTTGAAATTTATTATTTTACACAATTTACAATTATCTGATTCGAATGTGCACTCAGGGATATCCCTGAGAGAACGAGAAAAACGAGGCTTAGAGGCAGTGTGTAGGATGCATTTTCCGACTGCATCTGGCTGTATCCCTTCCCCTCGGATGCAGGCCTCATTTCGTTGGAAGTCACAGAAAAACCGATTTAAGATTTTGATTTAATTTTCCCAAAAACTATGGAAATGTCTAGTTTTTTTTGGGTCTCCTAAGGGTCGAAAGAACAGACGGTGGAACATCATCAATCAACCAGGGAACAGGCTCATTAGGGGATTGGGTTAAGGGAATAACTGCTGTTGGTAAATATGGAAATTAAATGGAATTTTCAAGGGTTTTTCTGGTACGGAAATTCTGGAAAAGGCATATGTTATTTATAAATCGTTCTTTAATCTTCATTTAACTTAAAAACAAAGATATTTTGACTATTTAATATCACTCCAAACTTAAATATATTTATATTTATTTTCTGAGTTTTTATTTCCTTCCATTCCTAGTTATCTAAACGTTAATCGTTTAATTTTAAAGATTTAATTTCAATTGCATCTTAAACTCCGGAATTCCCGCATTAAATTTCCCCTAGAAAGTCCCAGCATGGCTGAGCACAGGCGGAAATATCCTACACCCAGTGGCCAGGCCAGGCCGCCACCTTGTTCAGCTTTCTACCACCACCCCTTTTTGTTCCAGTTTTCGCGCTTGCGCCCCTGTCTGGTCTGCACCGTGCATGAGAAAGAGACAGCCTGCCGAGCGTCCTTGGTTGCGCTCGCTCTCTCTCTGTGGGACCGTTAGGATCGTGACCGCGCGGCATTTCCAACCAAATGGGCGAAAGGTTATTCCAGAAAAGTTCGCTATTGTTGCCGTTATCCTGGCGGCGCGCCATGCCATAAATCATTCCCTGTCCCTGTGTGTGTGTGTGCATTCCCACATTTCCAAGAACCCCTAAACGGTTTATGGCCGAATGGCGGCACAAATTTGAATTTCAGTTTGCCCGCGGCGGCTCTTTCGCTTGCGCGGACACTGCAATCCGCACCGCTCCACTCCTATCATCAGAAGTGGGGTTGGGGAAAAAAAGAAGAATCGGGGGGATAAGGGCAGCCAGGCAACATCGAGCAAAACAAATCAATTAAAGAAAGAGCGAGCGAGAGTGCATTGATAAGTGCAAGGTATATTAAATGGAAGGTGAGGCAGTCCCATTCGGCTGGAACAGCCTCTCCTCTCGGTTGCTATGTGCGCTACTCACTAATATGTGAAACAGAGCGAAGGTGCACATCTTGCACTACCTTACCTTCTCCTTAATATACCTTCGCCCGCGAGTGAGCAGCAGAAGAACAACATCAAACAGATAGTAAGAGAGAAACAAATATGTTAAGTAGAAAAACAAACAAAACAAAGGCGATAAGCTCTCCCCGAAACGTCATTGACTTTGTCTTCGGCAAATGCACTGAGAGAAAGAAGCAGCCAGCTAATTGAGCAAACATAATCACCTCAAAACGATCACTCTCTCCGCCGTCTTTGTGTGCTCGCAGTGTACAGTTTTCGGTGCTCTTTCTCGTTATCTCTCACGAAGTGTCAGCGTCGGCGCAGCAGCATAAACGAAGACGCAGCGCAGGCAGAAAACCCAACTTGAGCCGGGCTCAGGGCCCATCATCAACAACGTTTCATTTAAATCCCGACCGTTGCGCATTGAACATTGAACTCGCGATTGAGGAAGAGCGAAAAACCGTGCGACCAAAACAAAGATAAACGTAATCAGCCATGAGCAATCTCCGGCTTCGTCTACGGCTCTGCCTTTGCCTCTGTGTGGGCCTCGCTGCCGCAGCCAGCGCCGCCCCCGTCATCAGTCACATCACCAAGGATGTGGTCGCCAGCGTCGGCGACAGCGTCGAATTCAACTGCACGGTGGAGCAGGTGGGCCAACTCTCGGTTAGCTGGGCCAAATCGGACACCAACTCCATGCTCTCCATGCGGAACATGCTCAGTCTTCCCGATCAGCGCTACAATGTGTCCGTCACCGAGGATCCCAAGGCGGGCAATGCCATCTATACCTTCCGGATAAAGCAGATCGAGGTGAACGACATGGGTCCGTACGAGTGCCAGGTGCTGGTCTCCACCTCGGAGAAGATCACCAAGAAGCTGAATCTGCAGATCAAAACTCCACCAGTTATTTCGGAGAGTACGCCCAAGACCACGCTGGTCACCGAGGGACAGCATCTGGAGCTGACGTGCCATGCCAATGGATTCCCCAGACCGACCATTTCCTGGGCCCGCGAGAACAATGCCATTATGCCAGCGGGAGGGCATCTTTTGGCCGAGCCCACTCTCCGCATCAGAACTGTGCACCGCACAGATCGCGGCGGGTACTACTGCATTGCCCAGAATGGAGAGGGTCAGCCCGATCGTCGCTTGATCCGCGTGGAGGTCGAGTTCCGGCCCCAGATTGCCGTTCAGCGTCCCAAGATCGCTCAGATGTTGTCCCACACCGTGGAACTGGAGTGCGCCGTTCAGGGTTATCCCGCACCTACGGTGGTCTGGCATCGGAATGGCGTTCAACTTCAGTCGAGCCGCCAGCACGAGGTGGCCAACACGGCCTCATCCTTCGAGACGACGACTTCGGTCCTGCGCATTGCCAGCGTGTCCGATGAGGACTTTGGGGACTACTACTGCAATGCCACCAACAAGCTGGGTCACGCCGATGCCCGGCTCCACCTCTTCCAGACTGTTATCCCAGTGCCCTCCCTATCGTAGGGGGTCGCTCTGACGCTGCCTGAATTCCCATTCCCACGCATATAAGACTTGAACTTTTACTTTAATGCTTTACTTTTTTTCGGCAATTCTGTGTCTGTGCGGTGCGGATCGCTCCGGATGCGGTCTCTTCTCTGTTTATATTATTAATGATTCATTCAATTAGCTCTCATTCAGACTCATATCTTTTCGGATACACTTGAAATCTTTCGACTGTTTGTGCCTTAAGAATTGTTTGCATATATAACAAATACAATACCATATACATATACGAGTAGTATAAGTACATAATGTTCTTTGATAAAGTTTAATCGGCGTGTTCCCATATGACGGCAGAGAGAGCATCATGCTGGTGAGCATTCTTTGTAGGGCGTAAATGTGGGAAGGGTTGTGTATATAGCTCATAAGTATGAGATAATCATTTGAGGGGTTTATTCATGTCATGTAGGTAGGAGAAAATACTGAAATGTGTATCACGCCTTCCATAATCCACATTTAAGGAATCATACGGAAAAGAAGATTATATTAACGCGTTTATTGAAAGTCTAGAAGGGTCATAAGATCAAGAAGTAACTGAAACATATCGTTTAGAGCTCCAAAAACATCTCAAAACAAAGCTAAAGTTAGTTAGCTAAAGATATATGTATCATACTCCTACAATATCCATTTCCGCTTTCCCAACAGCTAAAGTTTATCCACCTTTAATCAAAACCGTTTCAAAACAGTCCCTAAATCCTGCAGAAAAAGTCCCACCTGAATGCGAACACAAGTGGCCCCAGCAAGCCAAACCCCAACACCCAAACACTTTGGCCCGACAGTTTATTCTGGTGGGGAAAAAAGTCATTTACCAAAAAGTTAACAGAGCCCGCTCAAAGTGCCACAACATTTAACTCTTCAATCATGGTTAAAAAATGGCAGCCAGTTCACCTCTTGACACGCACCGGGAGATGAAAAGTGAACCCGAAAAGTAAGTTGTTCATTGTAATTGAGAGAAATGCGGAGGCATTTGTAAGGGTCTGCCACTGACAGGAGCAACAACTATTTTATGTGTGTGCCGCCATACCATGTGTGAGGCATGTACCCACGCACCCCCACAGAAAGGGTGGCTGGTCCATTACGGCCCGAGGACATTAGTTTAACTAGACCCCAAGTCAGAGCAGCAGCAGAGCCCCAGTACCGTACCCCATACATCGCTCACTAAAATCAACACTTGCTAATGACTTAATTGTTTCCATTAGAAACCCGTTGGCTGGGTCTTGGTCTGGGCCTGTGGGTTGTGGAATACTACACTTGGCCACATATTTTTCATGCTGCTGGACTTTTTCGCACATGTCCTATGTGGCTCTGGCTGCTGCCCCACTCGCTCTCTCCCTACTAAATGAAATCCTGACTAAATGTCTGTCTTTATTGTAATTGGTATTGTTGGTGCCCGCTCGCACGCATTCAAGGCACTACTCAAGGGATATGCGACAGGGTATGGTCGAACACGTGCATCCTCGTCGCCGTTGTCGTCGTCTCCTTCCTTAGGAACATCATTTCATTGTCTGCCTTCGGCATAGCGGTTGGGGGAGCGAGCGAACGACCATCATGGACGTCGACGTGAGTTTTATTGATTTTTTCCTTGGGTTAAGAGCCAACCCCTGGAGAGAGACAGCAAAAGTCGATTGGAACGCAGGCTGTGACTCTCCGAGAGGCTTAAGGGTGGAATTCGTGTTGCACAGGAGGCCACCCCAGGCCCACAGTAAAATGGCAACAGTATGTCCTGGCTAAAGGCTCTTGAGAGCTATTTCCAGTGTGAGAAACATGTGTGGGAGTCCTCACGAATGCATTTGTCCATGTTGAATGGTGGATGGGGGTTGGGGGTTGGGTGGGCTGGAAGCTGAGTTTGGCGCCTGCGCAATGCCGTCCATTGGTTTACCTTTCGGACTTGCACTTTTGTTGGATGCTGTGGAGCGGCGCGCTGCTCTGGAACCTGGAATACCATTGAACACACAGACGACTTTTGGCTGCCCTGATGGACGCCTCCACCAGGCGGACGACACGTTCATTCGTCTGGGATCTGGCGGCAGGGATGCTCTGTGATGTTCCCGCATATTCCTTGCCGTATTGTGATGTGATGGTCCGTCCATTTACGACCTTCTAAGTTGTAAACAAAGGCTTTGGTGTTGGTTTTACGATGATGATGGGACGCTGCTCCTAGTGCCTGATGTGCCCTGAAGATGCTGCTGATGATAGTGCCACGACTGCTGCTGCTGCTGTTGATGCTGCTGCGGATGCATTCGAGAACTTGTCATTGCAATAAAATTGCCGTCGTGTCCAACGAAATGTGAAATTTTATTGGGTGAGTATTTACTTTTAAGATTTGCTTGAATTTCCCCCCTAAATTGTGTGCCGCTGATGAGAAATTTGTTTGTGCCAAATGACAGTCAAGATGAGAGTTCCTAGAGCGCTGTTTAGTGTTTTTTAAATTTTTTTTTAGTTAAATATGTGAATAGAATTATTTAAAGAAGCTTATTATTTCTAGTCAATTTTTTACTGCTAAAAAAAGATTTTTCTTAATTTAAAAATACCAAATATTATTGCTATAATTCTGCCCAAGTTTCTGAGGGAATATGCCATAACCTACGTTGATTTATTGCCATTTTTACTCATTACTTTTCTGCTCTTACTTTTGGCTACTGGCCAGGATAATTGTTTACTGTATTTTTGATAAGTTGCCAAATTAGAAAGAAGTACACGAAAACACACACAACATTGGCTTACAAAATGAGCAAGAAATTTGGCACAGAATGAACTGTTTTCCACCCTATAAAGGTAATCGTTATTGATGATCGTCATTAGTCCGTCTATAAAGCGACTTTCCGACTGTTCTTGAACCTTTTTTCCCTGAGAAAACTCTGCATAGACTGTTACTTATATTTGCTGATGAAAATCCTCGGAACAGAGATCTAATCAAATCACAAGATTATTAAGTACTTATCAGACATTGTCAACTTTAGTATGAGTATTTCTGCATAAAATTACTCCTTCCTTCACTATAAGTATGATATGCAAGGATCTATATAAAGCTTCGGGGCCCGAAGTTAGCCTTTCCTTTCCTTTCTTTTTATATCTGTTTTAAAATAACTAAAAAATATATGTAAATTATCACCAATAAATATATGCATGAAAATCCACTTTATATCCCTAATACTCCATGTATATTTTATTAATATTCCAATCTTCCGATCAGAGTACTGCTTGCACTGCTTGACATTACAGCCTCTCCTTCCTCTGCTCTACCTCTGCCATATGAATAATGTCCCAATTATGGATGTCTTACCCACTGTGTGGGTGGCATGGGTGGTAGGTAGCCAGCGCAGTAGAAAATGCAAATGAATGACTGCCACGCCTACAATCAGATAATTATGACCATGTTGCGTGGCCATAAGTAATTGCATTGTAATTAATGCGGCATGGGCATTTGCTCTTCTCTCCGTTCAGCGTTCTCCGCCCTCCATTCTCCATTCTGTGTTTCTGTTTGTAAAAGATAAATTAGTCAATGAATTATCGATGGCAATAGTGGGGCATTAATTGAAGTCTCGCTCGCGATGGCTTGATTTATGAGGGCCCAGCAATTTATAGACGAATGCATAACCATTTTCCCTCATATCCGTTGGTAAAAGAGCCAGAGAGATAAAGAGAGAGCGGGGGAAAACTGAATGGGGAAAAATGGTAAATGGCAAATGGAAATTGGAAAAAATGCGGCAATAAATAATAATTTAAATATTCCATAAAAACGAATTAGCCAAGCGTTGACTTAAAGCCAAATATTTACGAGTGGGTGGAGGCCATATTTATTGTGGGAAATTGTGGTGGGGTTAATGGTAAGGAGGGGCAGGGATCCATGTGAATGACATGCAATCTGCATGGCATGCATATGCATGAGGGAGCCAGAGGAAACTAGGGGATTGGTCGGTTGTTTGGTCGCTTGTTTGTTGCGCTGTCATTAATCCCCTCATGCAGAGGAGACAAATGCGAACTGCTTTGCTGCTCTTGCCCCACACTGTGCTTGTGTGGCATATGCGGTCTGTGGTTTTGCTGCTCAAATAATAAATTTAACTAATTGCCCAAAACAGCCAGAAGCTCAGAAATACCGATTTGCATTGGCCAAAGCAGATATATGTATGCATGTATATATCCCATTGCCGCCTCCTTTTGGGCTGCCACGCATTCATCTTGCCCCTCCTTTTGGGCTGCTGCTGCTGCCACTAATCCCTCCCAAACTTGCTCCCTAAAAACTTCTGTCACAGTGGGGCGTGGTGGACAGTGTCGTAGACAGACTCTAAAGTTGGCAATGAATTGAAAGAGTTTTGCCTTGGTTTATGTCTCGAGGATTACTGGGGAATTAGTGCCAACGATTCATTGGTTGGGTTGGGGATGATATGCCTTAAAGATTCAATGGTTCAAATGCAAGCTTGTTTGGTTCCTCTTTAATTAGTGTAATTGGAAAGCATTTTGCAGATCCCCAAAGTAGCCATTCAATTGGATATCAATGCTTGAACAAATTTTGTGTTCGAATTGGTGATTACGAGAGAGAGATATGATAATTGATGGAACACTTGGTCATGGTTAGGCTTAAGTTAAATAAGATCCTTCAAATGAGCGTACCCTGTGAACAAAATGTTTGATCGGAATTCGCCTTTGTTTAAGGATGATTTTCAGTGATGAATATCCTGATTTGTTTTTCATTCAAAGAACATTTCCCCTTTCATATCTACCGTTTAGAACACCTTCCTGCGGCACCTTTAAACGATCTCATTTACAAAAAGAAAAACTCTTTTTCTTTTCCTTGTGATAACGAAACCTGCAACATTCAAAGGCCATTCAAAAGTGCTGTTGGGAAGAGAATTGGTAGCATCAGGCGCACCATTCGTAACCACTGCAGAGAGGAGGCTTAATGGGTGAAAGGTCCTCTTTTTTATGCAGCCTGTTCCCTGGCTTCTGGCTGGGTGTTGGGTCCTGGCCCTGCGCCAAAAATGTGTGTAACGCGTTTTGCATTTCGCAGTTTGGAATTCGGCCGCGAAATGTTCCTTTTTGTGTGTCGCATCTGGTCGCTGGTGCCCGGCCACGCCCATTTGCTGGGGGGAGGGCAGTGTCGGTGTCCGATGCGATGTCGTTTTAATATTTCGACCAATTTAGATAACTGTTTCCATTTGCAATTAAAATGCAAAGTGCAGATACAGATACAGTACGCAGAATGCAGCAGATACTCGAACGAACAGACAGG